TGATACAATGGATTGTCAAAACTGTTGAAAAGTGGCATGCTATAAAGGAACGTGTGGGCGGGACATCATGTTTATCCTTTAGAGTTTCTGCAACGGGCAGAGACTCCTGAACAGGTGGGTAAAGGTGGCAGGACTCATCCAGCACACCTGCTCGTGAGGCTGCGTGACAAGGTAGAGACACACAAGCCAGCGTAACGCAGCCGCGCTGAGCAGAAATTGGAGGGCCTGTCGCAGCACATGACTGGCCAGACTGCATTAGCCTCTGCTAATCCCCCAGAGCCTCCTGCCAGGTCACTTCTGGTCTCAGACATGGAGCAGAACCTTCTTCAGCACTCCACGGGCACCTGGGAGAGGGGGCTTCCAGAACGATGCTGACGCCGGAGGGGTTGTCTCCCTTGGTGCTTGCTGCAGCCGCGGGCCGTGGAAGAACACCCGTGAATGTAGGTGTTTAACCACCCACCTTACAAGGATGTTTGAAAAAGAACCTGTTAAGAAGGGAGGTCTGTCCCCTGAATCGGACTGCGGAGCCATCTGGTGTTGCAGCTGACCTGAAAATGAATCCAGTAAATTTCAGACCTGAGCTACAGCTGGTGCAGGGAGATCTAAGAGACAGGTGGTTCCCTTAACAGCTGTACATCCAGAGACGGGAGGCAAGAAGGAAAATCCCAACTTCGCTGAACCGTCATGGGTTTTCTGGGATCTGTAGTAGCTTCCTGACCTTTTGCCATGATAATGACCACATCAAGGCAAATAGTATTTCTCCCTTCCTTTTGTTGAAATAATCCCGGCAGGTCAATGGGTCTAAGATTTTAAGTGAGTGTATCAATCAAGTGATGGATGGATGAAAAAGACTGGTTATTAGCTGGGAGGGTACTCTCAGAAATAAGAGTCTCATATTGGTGGTGTACAGACTAATGTCTCTTTGGGGGGAAAACCACAAATTACCGTATCTAAGGTGGCTACTTGAATTTGTACTTCTGTATTTATCCTGCAAATTTTAAGAGAACTTTAATCAAACACTGTTTTTATTAGGTGAATTAGTATGCATGCTGAAATGAAGTGTAAGTTATTTTTAGCTCAAGAAAAGTAAAGAACAATTTTGACTTTTTAAAAACTTGTTCTAAACAAAACACTTTGGCCATATGTCCATGTTGTTTTGAGAAGGATTTTAGGCAGCCCTGGTTTTTATTCGCGGATTAAGAGGTAATGAAACTAAAGCAACTAAGGTATAGAGGAAGTAAGCTATTTCTGTCTAAGTCACTCAGGAAGCAAATGTATGAAACTGAAAGTAGAGTCTTGAGGTGATAGTCCCAATCCTGTTGTCTTCCCCAAAACCCCCGTGTTTGTGCAAGTAGTTCAGTGCATGAGGGTACCCAGCTGAGGCTACAAGCAGAGGCAGATTCAGCCCAGCCCCTGCTCGCCACGCCTGGGGTCATGGGGAGGAGCTGTGCCCACCTTTTCCAAAGGTGCTAAGTCTGTTTCCCAAGCACAGCACCGAGGGGCTGAGCTGTTGGTTTGGGGGTCGGGAAGCAGATCACCCGTATCAACTGGGATGTTCTCCTGTGTTTTATTACAACTACAACTAGACCTTATCTTGGCATAATCTCTAAAAACCTTTGTTTCAATGGGTAAAGGAGGCGAGAGCTATGTACAGTTTGAAGAGGGTCTGTCGAGGTAACCCTGATTGCACAAGCTGAGAGGACACTGGATGCAACTGGAAAGAGTTTGAGATTTGGGGTATCTTCCCATCTGCCCTTTTGGACATGAGACTCCTCTAATTCCTTTCCTCTCTGCCTCCCTGTCTCACACTGCTCACTTGCCCTTTCTCTGCACACACACACACACACACACACACACACTCATACACACACACACATACACTCATACACATACACTCACAGACACTCACACACATACACACACGCACCGCCTTCTCTTCACTTCAAACTTTGTTCAAGAGGAAAGGGCTTTAGCCAAATTGACACGAAGATGTAAATAGCTAAGAACAATTAGATGTTTCCATCCCCATGGGGAGCATTTTAATCCTTAAATCGGAAACAAACTACCTTCCTAGTGGATTTCAGGCAGTGAGAAGTAGTAGGGATTCTGTTCAGACGTTGAAGACAGGAGCGCTTCCTTTATTCCCAAGACTGTTGCAGCTTGGTCTGAGCTCTTCCGGTTGGCCCCACACACGGGATTCACTCAGGAGCGTCATCTTTGCTCCTTGCTGCTTTTATCTTATCATTGTCTTTAGTTCGCCATTTTCGGTGCCCCTGCCCGCCCTTCCACCATCCCTGTATACTGGTCTGTACCTCCTTCTCAGCTCAGCCTGGCCACCCTGGCTTTCTTCTTCACCTTCTGAATTGCTTTCTCTCCGGGCAGGCACATGCCTTATAACTTCCACTCCACCATTAAGTCTTCTTTCTTCTAAATAACCCCGTCCCAAAATCTATCTGCACGAGGGTATCAGACTCTGCCCCTGTCCAGAAGCTCTGGTTATCATGGTTGAAGTTTCGAGCTTCCCCATTGCTCCCTTCTCCAGCAGCCAACACCATAAGCCCAGGAGAGGGAGAGAAGAAGTTCCTGAGCTTCTGTGAGGAGCTTTCAGAAGGCAGAGGTTATGATGTCTCTCTCTGCTTTTCTTACTAGACCAAGCCCAGTGAAGCATAGTTGGTATTTCTGTCTTCCTCTTCTTCTTCTTAGAGTGATTGCAGTGGGTTGCTGGAAGCTGGGACTTGACTTCCCTGTTTAAACTTCTTCCTAGATCCGAAGCAATTCCTATAGCTGGTCTTGGGCTCACATCATGCCACTAAAGCCAGAGTCACTCGTTAAATTGAACAGTTCAGTAAAAAAAAAAAAACAAACTACCATCAGGCTAAATGAACTCTGGTCACAGAAATCAAAATAGCTAAAGTGAAAAACTCATCTAAAAAAATGGTCAGTCTGGCACCTGGGTGGCTCAGTCAGTTAAGTGTCTGACTCTTGATTTCGGCTTAGGTCATGATCTCAGGGTCCTGAGATTGAGCCCTGTGTCAGACTCCACACTGAGCTTGGGCCCTGCCTAAGATTCTCTCTCTCCCTCTCTCCATCTGCCCCCCCCGCAACTCAGTCTCTGTCTCTCAAAAATAAATAAATAAAAATGGTCAGTCAGCTATCTATGATTCTTTCAAGAAACTTAATGATTTTCAATTTCTTCCATCATGTCATTGAACCCCTACATGTTAGGAGTTTCTAATCCTTGGATGACTGTAGTTTGAGTGCCAAGAAGCAAAGATTGTACTGTGCTTTGTCCAGAAGGTGAAGGTTTTGTACATTTTGTATATTTAATCTTGGTAGACTAAAACAAAATCGAATATATGACAGGTTTCCAAATTTCTTATCTAAATGAGGAGGAAGCACCATAGATGTATTTAGAAATGCTGAATGAATGGAATTGAACTTTATTTTCCTCCACTCTTTAAAGATTTTATTTATTTGTTTGTTTAGAAAGAGAATGAGTGAGCGCACGTGCATGAACGGGAGAGGGGCAAAGGGAGAGGGGAAGAATCTCCAGCAGACTCCAAGCTGAGTGCAGAGCCCGACACAGGGCTCAATACATGACCCCGAGATCATGACCTGAGTCAAAATCAAGAGTCAGACATTCAACTGACTGAGCCACCCAGGCGCCCCTCTCTACTCTTTTGAATGAGTTTTTGTTTTGAAAAAACAGAATGCCTGAGCCAACCTTTGATGGCTTGCAGTGCCAACTCCCTGTTGTCAACCGTGCCATTTTTTTTTTTAATGTCCTTGGTCTTATTTACTTTATTCTCCTAAATAGAACTAAGGTTGATGCCAGAGTGCTGTGCATTTCTGTCATGGTACTCGGTGTATATACTCTGTTTGGTGTGAGTACCTCTCAAAGCCCTCCCCAACTCTCTGGCTCCATGCTTTAGGATCCTCTAGTACACTCAGGGTCAAATATTTACATTCTCATGAAGGCATCCCCCCCATTTCTGCCTCAGCACAGCTTACAAAGACACAACTCAGCTCAGAGGCATCTTCTTTTTTCTTTAAAATTTTAAAGATTTTTTTTCCACCCCGTTTTCCCAAGCCTGGCTGTGCTAAGAACCTATATGCTGATGAACAGATCATTAACTGGTATCACTATCTAATTTAAACAGCTGTGTTAACGAGTATCTTTGGCTACAACTGAAGGAGGGGTCAGCCATCCTTCAGAATGCAGAAGTAATGGTATTAGGCTTCAGCACCATTTTCTTTGGTGAAGGAAGTTGGTTGGGAAAAGGGGTTTGGGTGGCCTCTCCTGGGGGGCATTCAGCCTGGACTCCCGGACTCCCATCAGCTCTTGGAAATAAGGAATCCAAAAGTTGCCGTATCTAATAAGACATGGAACCGTGTGTGCAAACATGTCTATGGGCGTGTGCCCACCCGTACCGTAACTGAATTTCCAAACTGGTTAAAATAGCCCTGCATGTTGGCCAACAAATACTGAGTATCTTATATATGGAACTTCGCGTCATACACTATGGTGGAGATAAAAAGAAAGCAGTATCCCAGATTTTCAGAACCTTATAATCCAGTGGTCTAAACCATTGAGTTTAGAGACTGTTTTAAAAATGTGATGTTCCTGAATATCTTTTAAGGAAATAATAGTTACTGTAAGTTTCTGCCATTGTCACTGTGATTAAACACTTCTCTGTATGTAGCTACACAAGCCCCATTAACATGTCACCCACCACTTCCCCCCCTCATTCCTGAAGAGCTGTGTTCCAGGTAGTTGGTGCACAGAGTTATGAATTGATCTCCAACGTGGGTAAAGCTAATAAATACGGTTTGGGTGAAAGGCACTGGTAAAAGCTTGAGATGTTATTACTGTTCTCATGCACTTTATTATTTTTAAATTGTGCATCCTTTTAAGTAGATTATTTGTTCGCCATAGTCTCCATTATATCTAAGCAAAGCATTCACAGAAATTTCTAAAACCTTTTCATTTCTCTCTGTAGGTTGTTGTTTCGTAACATTTTATACAAGAAAAGCTGCACTTGAGGCCCAGAATGCACTGCACAATATTAAAACTTTACCTGGGGTGAGTCGGTTTACTTTTGTACCAAAATCACTTTATTGCTTGAAAATGGTCCTTTCAACTGAAGGTTCTAGTTATGGGCTCTTAGTGGCAAAAATGACTTTGGTCTTTTGAGGAGTGTGTGCTGACCCCTCTGTTCCCCTCAGCAGCCAAACCAGCTGGCCGGCCCATAAAGAAGGGCTGGCATTAATGCTGATGGAAAGAGCTCTCCAATAGTATGTCCCCTGGTTAGAAAATCTGAGTGACCCCACTGGGTAGCAGCGGCTGCCAAAGAGTATTGGGTGGGCTAAGATTTTAAAAGGGGGGGAAAAAATCCAACACACACGAGAAAAGCAGATGGAAAAGGAAAAGCTTTTACTCACCAGGAGCCCCTTTTGAAATTTAGTCTTAGATTTTCTTTTGAAAGGACAAAATGTACCCTGTACAGCCATTATATTAAACCTCCTAATGGTTTCTCAACAGTCAATGATGGTTAACAAAGTCAATGTTTTAATGCCTAATTTGTGGCTTCATGTTGATAGTGAACAGAAAATACAAAGCTTACAATTTTTTTCCATTTCATTCCTGGTAATATTTGACGATTAGTACAATTCAGTAGAAGTGAACTGATGTTGTATGTAGCTACTGCATCAGAATACGTTATTTCTGGGGGTTTGTGGCAATTTTATATATTGCATGCTGGTGTAAAGTGTCCTGTGCTGTTTGCGTATCTCCCCATTGACCCAAATATCAGTGATGAGTTCATTTAATATCCTACTGATGTGCGTTGGTTCTAATGAAGAACTTGTGGTAAGCGGTGCAATAATAATTTCATTGAAACCTGGTTTGATCAGAGTATAAGAAAGATAATACGGTGTCCCTAATGTTTCCAGCTGCCATTTTGCTGTCTCTGTAGACATACACGGACACCTGTGTATACACATGCTAACATTTGCACACATAGGCATTTTATACCCCATCACCCCCAGAAAGGAGAGCATTTGTTTAAATCACCTTAGGTCCATTGAAAATTTCATAGTATTTTATAGTGGCAAGACACTCAAGAAAGAGTTTTCAAACCATTAGCTTCTTAGCCACCCAAAAGTAGTAAATCATGAACCATGGTCTTCAATCCCACCTCTGTGGCTCCTCCCTTTTCCTTAAAGCAAATCAAAGAGCAGAGGATTCAGAAAAGCAAGCATGTGGTAGCAGAATTCTCCCTCCCCATTTTGCTACTTCTCCCTGAAACTTTTAAGGGGGTTTTAGTAAGGCAGCTTTTAGTATATCTAAGTGCCTTTGCTCAGTGACTTTTTTTTTTAATATTATTTCAGCTTTGTTTTCCTTATAAATGGAATTTTTTTTTCAATATAAATTCTAGAAGCCTGCAGTTTTAGATCACATTATCAAATGAAGCAACCAAGACAAATATTTATTGGCTCAGCCAACAATAGGAAAAATGTTTTTTTTTAATTTCTCAGTCTCCTAATCAAACCCAAAGACCACTTTGTAGTCCTTCTTTTAAAAAGAAATACTTTATAATAATCAGCACACAAAATCCCTTCTAGGTATATTTTAAAAAATTCCTGAGATGAATTTATTTAGCATTTAGGGTGTATTAATGCCGAATCACATTCTATTTTAAATTAATGCAAAGCTTGGGTAATTTGAATTCATCCACTCCACTAAAATTTGCACAACTCCCCAGTATGCCATCCTTTGTGGTGAAGACACTCTCAAGAAGCCCGGAGTTAATATATGATGAGTGGGCCATGTTGAAAAACATACAAGGGGCTGGCAAGTCTCCTTCTTTTTGGGACATCTTACTCTGACCCTTTCCTAGCAAACAAGTAGCATCTTCAGTATTAAAAAAAAAAAAAAAAAAAAATGTTGCATATGTTCTGTTTGTCTCTTCTTAAAAATTCTGCATGTGGAAGTCAGGAATGGTGATTTTGGAGACCCATTAAGTGCAAGAATTCCGGAGTTGAAAAAGATGGCTTGGGGATTGTTTCTTGGTTTTCTTTTTCTCCGGTTCAACTTCGTCTGCCCCATTACCTGCGGCGGGTTAAAGGGAAATCGTGAGAAGTCAGGTCTGATTTGTAGGCTCCCAGCCTTCACAGTGCACACACTGCTGGTACATTTGCTACTTCAAGTTAGGTAAATGGGAACAGGGTGCCATATATTGCATTTACAGATAGTTCTGTCTGATAAACATCACCCTGAACAGCTATCGGGGAAACATGAAAGTTGGTCTCCTTTCAGCTGTGAGCTTTTGGTGGACAGAAAGAAATGGGACCAGACATAAAAGACTAATGCATATTTGGGGGGAAAAATATTGCAGGGTGCCTTGCTGTTTGATTACAAGCCTTGGAATTAGTCAACATTTCCATAATTCTAAACCAATATACACCTGTTTTCCCACTGTGATGTGAAGGCACAACTTAATTTAACAGAACCCCTGCTGTGCTAAATCTCTCATTAACTACCAAGTGAGTTCGGTAATTTAAAGTTGTAGCACTACTATTTTAACTGGTTGCCTTCATATTATGAAATTAATAAGAAATTAATGATGCACTTTGCCATATGCCTTCAATTTCTTTCTGAATAAAAATAAAAGGGAAAAAGAAAAACACATCAGCAGCTGACACTTTAAAGCTTTTCTGTTTATCATTTTTCCTGCGGATAAAATCCATTAAAAAGGCACTTGCTGCTTTTTTTTTTTTTCCTAAAGTGTCCAAAACTTTCAATTTAAAACAAGATCAAACAGTGCTGGGTTCCCCCACACACACCCGTTTAATTTTCTTTTGCAGCTGATGTTTTGTATCATAGAGAACTTTTATCGTGCTCCAAACTTGATTGATGTTTAGGGACCCATCTTTCGGTCTTGAGAGAAACAAAGAACTCAGTTAGTATGGCAGAGGAAAAAAATGCTGATGGGATATCTTATTCAGGCACCCTTCCTTCATGCTATGTGTGGGTCGTGGAGACCCTTTCCATAGTGGACGGGGGGGTAGGGCGAAGGATCAGTGCAGAGTCAAAGGGCACATTTTTCACGCCATGTGACTGAGGAGGACATTGGGTCTTTCATCCTCTGAAATGCTCACCAGAAATCCTGGAAATACGCTATTGGTAACAAAGGGAGCCGGTTCCACAGCTCAACACAGGGAGGAGCAAAGAATGAGCATCTGGGGGTCCTTTCCCCGGGTTGACCCCGCTGTCCTCTGGAAAGGGAGGCCTGACGCTTAAGCAGCAGATCACATCTCAGGCACAGTGCCTTACTTACTCCTGAAATCCCGTTAGGTTAACAAAACACTAATGAGTCTCGCGTGCCTACTGTGTGCCAGGCACTAAGCTAGAGCAGTTCATGCATGCGCCTGCCTGCCCTTCAGCTGCGTAGTGAGTGAGTGAGACTCCCGTCACCCAGGAGAGAAGACCTCTGGTATGTCAGGCAGGACCACGTGACGAGCCCTAGGGCTGGCTGCAAACCTGACCTTTTCCGAAGCCGAGGCACTTGTGTTCCTGGACAGATTTTGGTTGCCTCTGCCTGTTGACAGTATAGCAAGCCAGGCTCAGAGGTGGCTTCTTTTGTTCAGGAAGGCACAGCCTACCTGGTAGAAGTAGTCAGTAGAAATGTCATCGTCCACCATTGTATCTCCCAGAGAGAAATCTCTGTGAAGGCAACCTGCGAGATTGATTTTGTTTTCACCGACTTGATTTAGCTTAATTAAAAAATAAAATAAAGACCTTAATAGAGGCGCAGGAAAGCCCCTACGATCTTTTCGATAATCAGATGTCCAGGGCCACAGAGCCCCATGCCAGTGTCAGCACTGTGCCTTAGGTCATTCTTCTTTCAAGGTCTTCACACATACTGTCTCTAGCAATAAGGCTTTCTGATTGAAAATCTACAGCAGTATCATTAGAGCATTCACTGTATAAATTAATTTAATTAAGGATGTAATAACAGAGAGGAATACAGTTTTGAAAAAGCTCTTAAATTTTAACAGCAAGGAGGAATCAGAATCTAAATGTCTGGTAAAATATTAATTGCAAATTTCTTCCAGACATTTTTCTCGGCCTATGCCTTACTCCTTCCTTTCTTTTTAGAATCACGACCAGTTTTATTAAATGCAGTTTATATTAAGGAGTTACTGCCCTGGGAGAACATTTGTTTAGAGCACTCCATTTTAGTGGTGGCTTACTGAAAGGTGGTTTATAATAACACATGCAGTGTGAGCAAGGACTGCACGTAGATGGGAGATATAAAACAAATGAGCCTCATCCAGTAGGAAGAAGCTGTAAATAAAACTGCCTCTTGGGACAAGTGTGTTCACATGAAGTGAATGAGCCCCTTCTTGGCTTGCCCTTGAAGAGATCATTTACCGACGCAGGTAGGCACTCTCTTTCCTCCCAGGGGGCTTTCCACACAACTCTCCATAGAATTGTACCCCTGTGTCCTTTAAGAGTGGAATGCTGGGGGTTTAATATTCTCTCAACAGAGTAGCTAGGATCTCACTGGGACCAAATTCAATTTGCCCATTGATGCATTTTGAGGTGCTCATTTTCTTTGAACCACCTCTTCTAATTATTAATAAGTATTTAATGCCTTTGTTCTCAGAGCCTTGATGATTATTTTTATCATTCATCATTATTATTTCTGTCATAAAATCCCTCAAACCCCATCTCATCATATCATGGATATTCCCCGCCCTCCGCCCCGAAACCATCTCATTTAAATCTAAGCCTAACTAGGCCGGGCTAGATAAAGTTTCTTCTCAGATGCCATTTACTTAAAACAGGAAGAAACGGCCAAAACATCTGCAAGAGCAGGATTCAGGCCTCAAAATCGTGTATCATGTAGAACACACAGAACACTCATGCACTCATTCGACAAGTCTTCATCGAATTTTTATTGTTTGCCCGGAACTGCTCCGGTAACTAGAGAATATAGTAGCAGCCACGCTATTTATAACTGAATCACCCCAAAACAAAGCAAGCCCACAATGCCTGTTACATGCGTAATGCTTAAT